ACCCTTTTTTTTTTTGTTTCCTCATCCTGTATACTGTATTCATAAAACTGCTCCTCCTGAATATAAATCAAGTGACTAGATCAACAAGTAGCAAGGTAGTTCCTTGCCATACCTTACTCAGGAAGTTTGCTTAGCAAAGCAAACATTTTCACCAGTAACCAGGATTGTTCTTCCTCTTTTAAACTTGCTGATGTCTCAGTTTCTCACTTTCGTCACTTGCTTTTACAAGTTTTCATTTCTTAGACAAGTGTAAATGTTATAAAACAATAAAAAACAAAACTGGTTGTCACATCTATTTGATAGAAAATGATTTTAAAACTAGTTCATGCAGTGTTTGAAGACTACACTACAGTGATGAGGTTGTAAAGCCACATGAATTCCCAATTAGTTGAGAAGGTTAGTTTCAGAGGAAAAGACCTCTCTAAAATTACATTTTAGCCCACATTGATAAGCAGTGTAGCTGAGAAAACTGAAGTTTAAAAAATCCCCTTGTTCGTAGTATTTGATTGACCTTGTATGCTAATTTATATGTAACAGAAGAGAGGCGGACACAGGATAAGAACATTTGAAGGGAGCGGCATTATTTAATCAACTGAAATAACACAAAAGAAATGCCTTCTGTTTTAGCTAGAAAAATTAGTATTAGGTATGATTTGTTTTTACAGGCCGTTCTATGCTTGTATGTAGTGATGGAAAATCTAGAATTGCACCCACTGCATGATGTACTTGAAATTTGAACAAGCTTTTATCATCAGATTGTACTTTCCTTATCCATGTACTTTCATCATGTGGCTGAATCTAGTGCAGTTTAACTATGACTAAAAATTTCAGCTAAGAATGATGAGACCCCAAGGGCACTTCTTAGTGAGTTAGTTGACAGGTATTCTTTTCCAGGTTTTTAATACCAAAAGGAAAGGAACTACAAGAAAGGAACCACAAGAAAGGAACCAAGATACTGTATATTGTATCAAAGGATTAATGTGGTAATACGTAAATAAAGAATGTATGTCTCATGTGATGTGTTTATCATCTTTGAGTAACCTTTATGGATCTGGATCTGACCCTGAAATGGTTAGCAAAGAAATCCTTTCAATAGATGAAATATACTCCCAACATGACAAAACCAAATCTCTGCAGGAAGGTATTAGTTTTAATAGGAAGAATTCATAGACAATATACTATTTGCTTTCAAACAGGTGGGGTTTTTTTTCACCTGCTTTTACTCTCAAAAGTAACTTCTGTCTGATCATTCATCAGCTGCGTGATCTACAGCAACTCAGAGACATCTCTGGTGTCCATGGTTCCATCTCACTTAGTGACTGCATAGCGTACTTAATAGCACCTTGATGCTCTTTGATACTTGCCCTCAGTATTATGTTGTGAATTATATAATGGAACTAGAGCCTCAATACTCACCAGAAAAAGGAAATGAGACTGAAGTGAAAATTTGTATGTGTCCCATGCACAGATGATTCTGGGGCGAGATGGGATGACTAAATCCATGATCACATTCTGGACAGTTCTTGGTTTGTTGATTTATAGAGAAAAAAATAGGCAGGAAAGGGTTATGTAAAGCACAGTAGCAAGACTATTTTATTACAGACCATGAGAGTCGCAAAAAAGCAAATACATACATTTTAAGTATGAGGGAAAACAAGAAATGGGTAGAAATGGGTTTGTCCAGACAGTACATCCCTTCTTAGGCAATTGTCCTTTATCCCTTGTGTCTGCAGCAATGCTGCGGCACCCTGAAAACAGGGTAAAAAGTGTCAATTCCAGTTAGGACAATCATGAGATTATCTGTAGGGGTTTACTAACTCTTCACACCAAGTCTGTCACACTCAGATCCTAGGGCTTGGTGAAGTTACAAGTAGTTGTAACACCTGCTCTCCTTGACTGAATTATGTCGCTGTACAGGTTTTATCTAATCTGAGCAAGAGATTATGCTTAGTGTCCAAAAGCCCTTCTTTAAGGGGCAAAAGTGTGAGAGAACATGGAAGAACAACCTCAAGAAACTATTTAGCGATACTTTTTACACTTCACAACTCCTAGGACAGTTTACTTAAGATATCTTATGCCAGTGTTTACAATAGCTTCTAGATGCAAAAAATCAGCCAGAATGCTGACAAAACAAGTTCTTTTCCAGTTTGACCAAGCAAAAAATCTCAGGCTTTCTTTGGAAAGTTTATAAGAAGCAAGCCTGCTTATTGATTTGTCACCTGTCTACATTTCTGTTTAATAGTAATGTTAGCACTTTCTCGTGCCAAGAATGTACATACACAGGAATGTGTAGAGGGATACACACCTTAGAATCATGCATTTACATTATAATGTACATGAAATACATCCTTAGAGACCATTACTAAGGATGTACTTCTTACTGTGCTGCACATCTGCTTAACCTGTAAGTATTACCCTTTAACTCTTCACAGTTTTTAAACTTCAGTGCACATTTCCAGTAAGATGGTCTGCAAGAGTACACAGGAAAATAGATGTGTAGTATAGTTCATAAAACCACATGCTATACTATGCATCATTAAGCTTGGGAAGACTCCAACTGGAGTTAAGATCCCAGGGAAATACTGTCACCTTCAAACACAGTTTAAAGGCAGAAACAGAAAAACAGAAAAAGAAACATCAATGTAAGAGCTCAAAATACAAAATACCTTTGATCTGGTCCAGTGCATTACACAAGTTCTGTACTGTAGCACATAAACCATTAGTAAAAATCACAAGTGTAACTCTGAATTTTATACTGGTTTTGATTCTAGCAGCTTGATTGGGCACTTGTAGAATTACAAAGGTTTATGATTTTGCTCACATATTTCTTAACAAGGAGAGTAAGTGAAGAGAACACTGAAAACCCAGGTTGGCGGTCACTCTTGCATATTTCTAGGGCCAGCTGGCCAAGTGTTCCACAGCCATAGTGTCATGAAGCCAGATACTATGGAAAACTGGTATCTTTGGCAATTAATTTCTGATTGTAACTGTTGGACACGGTTAGGGAACACAGTGAATTAGTCCCAACGTTGTTCTTAGCCAGTAGGTGTCATCTGTCGTTGGTAGGGATAGTAGAGTGTCCTGGTACTCAGCAGACACCTTTTATCCTGTCTGTATTTCCTGAAACATTTATAGCACATCTATGAGCTAGACCTGAATACTTCAGAGGGAACTCTTGTGCATTTTAGGTTTTCCATGAATTAGCTGTGAAGCTAATGAAATGATAATACAATCAAATGAAAAATCTCCTTTGCTGTGCTATTCTTTCTACCAGCCACTATTATTAGTAAAGTCAAATTTTCACTTTAGCTACAACTTTCCTATGGAATTCTCCTTAGATCCTCTTAAAATGTATGAAAAGCAAAGGAAAACAGAATTGTGCTCTGTTGGAAAGAGGAATTTATCAGGTGCTTGTATGTGCCAAGTACATTAAGCACAACTCTATGGAGAAAAAACAAGCTTATGGGGGTTTGAGTTACTTAAAACATGACAGTCTGGTACAAGACATGCCACTGCAAAACAGAACTTAGTTACATATGTTTGCTAATATGCCAGTTCTTATGCTAGCACCGAGAAAGCTAAGTCAGGAAACAAATTTCTCATGGGTACAATACTAGAACCAAACCACCTTTGGAATAAAGCCAGGCACAACTCCACCATCCATACCATTCCCTGAGTCAAACTACAGTTACTTCCTCAGTAATTTTGGTTTCATGGCTGTTAAAAAAAGATTAGGAATTATACATGTACTATTTCAAACAAGAATTTTAAGTATTACCCTCATAATCCCTTAATAAAGGAACAAACTGATAACAGCTAAAATTCTCCTCATATTAAGCTTCTGCTTAAACTTCACATTAATACATCTCTAGAAGGAAGGACTACTAAGTAACCCAGTTGGTAAGTGTGAAATTGGGGTTACATAACAATCATTTTCAGTCTTAGCTAGAGCTCATGCAAATTCTCAGGAGTAAAAAGTTGCAGTAACTCAGTCTCCTGCCATATGAAAACAATCTCTACCTAAGAGTATTTCCAAAAGAGACAATGCTTTGGAAATGGGAATAAATACACTCTAGCTGCACGTAAACACAAAACAATGAGAAACCCTAGCAGTGAGTTGAGCAACACAGAACACTGCAGAAATCAGTTCCCTTCAATTTTCAGTATTCTTAACACTTTTTCCTCTGTTGCTGGCAAGGCCACACATGCTTTCTTTTATAGGTATGCAGAATCTTCAAGTCTGATGAATAAAACCTCCTTCTGCCCGTACCAGAAAACGAAGAATTTCTCTCTTAAGCTGAAATCCTAGTAAACCAGGAAGGTACAATAAAAAACAAGAGTAGAGTTACTTACGTCTGCTTCACAGCAGTAAGCTGGATGCTACAAATATGTTTTCTCTTGAAGAGCCTGGCAACATTGAAAAGACAACTCATCAGGCCTCAGGGTACCAAGACTCAGTCCATTCCATGTTTAGGATATATATACTTGCCTCACTAATCACCAGCTATCAGTTTCAGCAACACTCATCAGTCTTCCTTTCCTATGTACTCTGGCATCCTGACTATAACTGCTAGTTCACCTTCCCACAACCATCCCATATACTACCTTAATTTTTTCCATCATTTTAGAGACAGGTATTTTTACTTAGGGTATTTCTTGGCCTTTACAATGACAACCAAGAGAACCTCACACTGTTCAGTGTGCTTCAACACCTCTCCAAGAGTTAAGCTACTTAGGCAGTATTATCTTCATTTTACAGACAGGGAGAACAGAGAGAAAAATGACTGACATTTGAAAAGCCTTTAGAAAATTTAGAGTTCTTAACTTTCAGACTCTAAATTAATGAACTAGGAACCCAAGTAATTTCATTGGTTTTGACATGTTGCTCTAAGTTATATGCCAGAAGTAGTTGTGTGAGAAGTCAGTATGTGATTAAGCTGCGGTCTGAACCAGGATCTCCAAAACTAAGAAAGCACAGAATAGAATCTTCAAGTCACCAATAAGACTCAAAACATACTTTATTCAAAGAACAGAATTCATGGACAAGACAATTATGTTTACAAGAAAGTCCAGTGGTAAAGAAAAACCTGATTACTATTGAAGTTAACTTTTCATAAAGTTTCGTATTTTTGATTAAGGCTCTGGATAAATACATAACCATATCATACTGAAATATTAACCTAGTAGTTTAATACCTCCGTAACAATCAGGTGTACCCCTGCAGAGTCTCTCATGGTAATGCTTGTATATTCAATAGTTTCTTCACAGATTCCTTATACTGAGACATGTTATTTTCTGTTTCACCTTCATTTTTAAGTGCAATTACAGAGTTTCTGTAATTTTTAACCACTTCTGATGCAAGAAGCTCTTCCTTAGTTACACTACTGACATTCTCTGAGGCTTTTATTCGAAGTAGGGTATCCAAGGCATTTTTCTGAGAGCGGCTATTTTCCCAAATATACTCTTCCATGTCTTCCTCAGCCTTCTCACTCTCCCATGTCTCGGTTTTCTGAAAGAAAATATACATTGTCTTAAAAACTATTCAAGACTGAAACAAAGCTACAATAATTGGAGGAAACTTATCTCTATACCAGTTCACTTTAAAAATTACGTTCGTCATGGAACATATTTCCCCTCTGAAGTACAGAGGCTTGTAACTGAAGCCTCAAAGTTCAAAAGGTGCCTGTATGCCATACATTTTCTGTGCAGAATTAGTTTCTTTCCTCCCACTTAGCAAGTTCTTTATGTATCTGGCAAACATAACTAGATGAGTCAGAATAGGAAAAAAAACTTATAGACTAGACATGATGAATAACAACAAATCATCTAAAAGTAATAATTTTAAATTACCCTAAATGCTCAAGCTTTGGAAGTAGCCACCTAGCTATTACGTTCCTAGCATATCATTTTCATACATTTACGCTGGCTAGAAGATGCAACTCAAGACAGCTCATATCGAGTAACCAATGATGAGGGACAGCAATCCTTCATTGTTTGGGAAATGTTTTAATTGTGACTCGTCTGGAAAAGCACCACCAATCAATCTATTTCCTCTTCCTGCAAAACAAACTGCTCCTCGAAAGAAGCTCTGTCTGCAAGGCGCTAATTTTTATCTGATCAGTAATAGTAGACTGGATACTGGGGTTATTTAATCTGGGTAAGGGAAGACTCAAGGGGGGACCTTATTGCTCTCTACAAATACTTGAAAGGCGGATGGAGCAAGTTGGGGGTTGGTCTCTTTTCCCAAGTAAGGAGTGATAGGATAAGAAGTGACAGCCTCAAGCTGCACCAGGGGAGGTTTAGACTGGATAACAGGAACAATTTCTTCACTGAAAGGGTGCTCAGGCATTGGAACAGGCTGCCCAGGGGAGTGGTGGTATCACCATTCCTGAAAGTGTTCAAAAACCATATATATGAGGCCCTTAGTGACATAGTTTAGTGGTGGACTTGGCGCTGCTGGAGGAACAGTTGGACTTGATGATCTTAAAGCTCTTTTCCAACTGAGCTGATTCTATGATTCTCTGAGAAGATGAACACAGAACACATCAACCCACTTCCTGTAAATACTTGGCTTCTGCAGCTGCTCTTCATAAATTTTGTGTGTTTAATTTTTACTGTACTTTAGTAAATAAATATGCTTTGTAGATATATCTGTATTTTTATATAACGTAGACTGTATATTTATTTGCATATTTATAACTATTTAGTACTTTACTGGTGTAAACAGAGTATCCTTATTTCAACTATATAAGAATCACAATTTGAAATAGCTCTGGTGCTCACGTTTTTCTTACAGTTGTAGAAATCATATCTAAATAAAAATTACGTGTGTCCTGGAGTAATCATTTATATCATATGGATAGATGGATTTTATTTTTTAAAATCCCCTGCCAGAAAGGGCTCTGAAGTAAATTTTCAGCTAGGCTATGCAGAGTCCAAAGAGACCTGGCAATCATGAGAGGGATGGGTTTCTTTTTGCTTTGGTTTTATGGGAGTGGGTTTGGGGGTTGTTTTTCATTTAAAATACTCTGTCTACTAGTAACAAGGATGCTGCAGTCAAACCACAATATTTAATAACCTTTAATTGAGACCCAGGGTTAATTTTTTTCATACACACCTGTGTGCTTGGGTGTCTCTATGTGAATTTAAAAATACTTTAACAAATGCTGCATACTGCACCTGGTAAACGGAATCGCTTGTCTTTTAAATCTCCAAGTCCAAATGTTTAGTCAGAAACAGTGATTAACACTGCTAAAAGGCTCATATGACTGACATTAAAGCCTGGACATAATACAACACAGAAGTGAAAGAACCTCATTCAATATTTAGAGAGGGAAAAAATAAAGGACCGCCTGTATTGCTGAAACAGTAGTGGAACAAGTAGGTATAGCAGAGTATCCCTTGTACTTTTGAAAAATACTGCAATTCAGTGTGGAGATTTAGACAGTTTTAAATTAACTACATCATCCTGGTTTACATATCCCTTGTTTATGTACATAATGGCTATCCACAACATTTTCTTCCTAAACTCCAAAAGGATTTTAAAGCAAAAACTTCTCTCATAGGGATAGGGTTTCTCAAAAGTAAGGGAATATGGGTGTTGCTCCTGGTCACTCTCTGGACCAAACTCATGATGAAGTTCAAACAAAAGATCACTGTGAGACTTTTAAACACCTTTAAGTTATAGTAGAGATAGAAACTAATTACAGTTTCGACACTACGTTTATCTCTTCAGGAAAATCCTTCTCTGTACACATTAACTTACAGGATTTTGGAGATGCATGCTGATAAACAGATTAAGATTTCCCTCTCTCTTTTGAGTGATACAGAGTAAGGTTTTAAAGGAGGTCAAAGAATCTCTTCAGTATTTCTTTCTTGGAATCCGTCCCAGTGGAATGGCGTGTCAAAACTGATCTTAAAATAAAAGCTGACTTCTGGGGAAAATGAGGCAGGAAGGGATTTGACAGTAGGGGGAGATTTCAAAATCCATTCCTCTGCCCTGCTACAAAAAGCTAGTATCCATTGCTGCAATGTTGGTGGCCATGCCTCAAAATGAAAAGTTATCCTACTGTACACAAGTCCAGACATACATCACAAACAGGAAACTGAACAGAAACCAGATATATGCAAACTGACTGTTATTGAGCAAAACTTAAATACCTTTCCAACCAGATTTACTGCAAGAAAAAAAATAAATCTGGAACTATATATTCATTTGAGAAAGCACTGTAGGTAGACAAGCACCTATGAACTGAATAGGGGAAATGTTACAAGTGTTGTAGACATTATTTAAAGTATTATGAAGAAAAATAATGAGACAATGGAAGAAACTTCAAAAATGAGTCTTCATCACTCAGTTTTGTTATTTGCCCCCTGCAAATTTAAAATGCTACTGAACACTGCACAAAGTGTCTTACAAATGAGAATGTGTCTGTGAAAAAGGGAGTACAAGTGTGCCATTGTGTGACATTTTTCTAGAAACCCCACTTACTGAATGAGGTTAGAAATCAATAAAGTATTTTTCTTCAATGAATTCACTTAAAATGATTGTTTCATTCTACCACATGTAAGACACAATCTCAGAAAGTATTAACCGACCTGGCTGAAGATACACTAAGCTGATAATTTCAACTGTTTCTCGTATCAAAACTTTCAGTAAGATCTGAGGAGGTGGGAAAAAAAAACCCAACAAAATCACCAGAAAACTTTTCATATATAGTCAAAGAAACTAAACCTGTTACTAAAGAGGCACGGAAGATTTTTTTTTTCTTTTTTACACTTCCAAGTGCAAATAGAATTTTTTTTTAACGTCATAAACCACGTAAGGATTCGTTTCAAATAAACCCTTTTATGCTACAGTTTAAGACAGTTATTTTGTAAGGTTTACAAGCCTTTATAATGTTTAATCTGAAGTGCTGACACAGTATAAATCAGTCCTCTGCTGTTTCTTTGGGGAAAAACGTATTTTAACTAGAATTTGTAAGTGGCACACAAAAATCTTCAAGGCAATTAAAAACATGACTCATAAGTCAATTTCCTTGTCAATGGTTTGACCACTTAAAAAATTAATGCTGTTTATGTTTAGCAAGACCAAGTATTTCAGTGTTTGTTTTGCTGTTTTGTTTCGTTTTTTTTTTCTTCAGGAGAGGCAAAGTCCTTTAAGTTGCAAGTCAGATTTCAAACTCTATAGAGCCTGGAATAAACACAGCAACAGCACAGGGTAGATAGATCCTCTAGAGCATCAGGGTGTCACAAGAAATACTGTGAAGACTAAACATTCCAGTAAGGTACAAATGCAAAACAGAAAGGAGAACAGGCAGAGAAGAAAGAGCTTTGCCTCAAAAAATATTGAAGAAAGAGATGCTGTCGCACTTAATGATAGCCACAGGCTTAATCTCTAGTTCTGTCACTAATTTAAGTGTCCTCAGAGGTCAACATCATCTAGATTACCTTTTTATAAATTAAGGACAGCACCCCACTTCTCTGGTCGAAGTGGCTGCATGTACTTTCTAGAAAATCCAGGCTTCTGACAGAGTCATTTGTAAGGTATTTCTCTAACTCAGGCTGTAAGATTCTGATCTTATGGAGTGTTTTGTTACGCCTGATAAGACTTCGTTTCACTCTGACATTTAGACTGAAAATTAAACACCTGTAAAAAACTGTATTTATGCTTCAAAAAGGTGTCTTCTCAAGCAACTAGAAATATGGGCTTGAACACAAGGTACTGCACAAAACCTACTATAGTCTGAAATTCTACAAAGACAATTTTGAAATCAACCTTTTCCTTCACTGTTTTATCCTTTGTGGTTCCAGGCAACCATATAAAAAAAAAGTTTAACCTTTTTTCACTACAATGCAGATTCCCTGTCAGCAAAACTTTTCCCTTTGATTTTATACGTTTGAATTCAGATCACCAGAGAATATTTATTAAATTTAACATCTACTGTGCCACTTAGCTTTATCTCTTCTGACTCGCATTAGTGATGAAGCCTTGGGTTGTCAGTTTTTGAGCATTGGTGAGTGCAAAACGAAATTTAATACATACTTCAAAACAAAGTATATATTACAACATTTCCAGACCACCCTTACTTCAGCTTCAGTTTGTTATTTAAACCATATATAATGACATGCTGAGAAAGAACGCTATTGTAGGAAGGGCATAATTATATCACATGCTTCATTATTCTAAGATCTCAAAGTCAGGAGATTTACACTAAGCAGTCTTCAGTTATACTAAAAGGTGCCCAGAGCTCTACATCTTTCTATCCCAGGTACATGCTCTGATCACTTGGCTACAGCCCTCATTTTCATTCAATGAGCCTTGAATTTTCTGCTGCCCAGGGAGAATTGCTTCAGCAAGACTTCATATTTTCTCCTTCCACCCCCTATCCTAACCAATGTGTCACAACATCATGGGTGTTCAGAACATAAAGTATACTTTTGAAACCTAAGTAGCCAGAGACCTGCTTAGGTTTCAGAAGTGGACTTGTACCCTTTCACATAATTTAGTCTGAATTACAAGGTAAAATGCTGTGGGGAAAACTGCAAAATTCTACTGTTACAAAGTTCTCCTGACACAACCTGAAGTGAAAAAAGAAATGTGCTTACTCGTAATGGTTTAAAACGACTGTAGATGAAAAAAAGACAACACAATTTAAGTGCTGACTGGTCTAGAGAGAAGCTACATAATGTATTTTGGGCTTATCACCAATGGATATGCAAAAATATTCATTGAGCTGCATGCATACACAGACTCCCCACCCCAGCAGTGCCTTGCAGTTGAATGCTCTACTTAGAAAGGAATGCAAAAGAAATGTGGGACAGTTCCCCCAAATTCATTCTAACTGCACAGCTTTGGGGTTCACAGATAAATTCTACTCAAGTCTCTAGTGCCACTCTGTCCATTCTTCAGGTCTACTTCAACTTCCCTGTCATTTCATTTCAAGCACTATTAACTCCTACAATTTAAACACAATGCAAAGAGATGTACCCAGAACACCCTTTGGCTATTAACTGTACACATTCAGCAGCCATTTTCTACATATCCCTACTTCTATATTCCTTCTTTTTTACTGTTTTTAAATCTTGATTCTTTTTTACCAGACTCCCGTAACCACATTACTGGAAAAAGCAAGAGTTCAGAAGTGTGTACAGCACTACTCCATGGTTATTCTTGGTATGTTAGATTAGACTTTTTACTTCAAGAAACACACTGGAGAACAGCTTGCAACTTCTATCCCTTTTATAAGCAGTGTAAATGATTTTCCTTCCTGGGAAATTAACTTCCTGCTCCACTTGTTTCTCCTTTCTGCTTTCAACTTGTAACAGGACTTTTACTTTTTAGCGATAAACTATTAATCTGAGGAGTCTGAAGAAATCAGTTCATGATCTTTTTAACCACTTGAGGGCAGCAAACTCTTACTTTTTAAACACCACTTAAAAATACATTCAGGTTTAGAAGATGCTACAGCATTCAAGAAGCACCATGGTTTAAAGACTGGCGAAATACAAGAGCTTAAGTTGCTGTTTAACAATCTACCTAGTATTCATTGATTAAATAAATCCAGGCACAATCCTAAAGGATAATTTGAAAGGAATCACAGAAAAAGTCCAAAGAAGGTAAACTCAATCCTTACCATATTGCACAAGTCAGATTATCTACTGAACACATTCTAAACCCAAATAGAACACAAATATTTGATTAATAATCTGAAAACAGGATGCAACAGATTCCTGAACTACTTGGATGCTCCAGTTTGTAACTAATAAAATTATACATCACTAGCAATTAAAATATAATTACACTTGAAACTACACTTCCTGATTTATAACTGCATACAGTTTTTTCTTTTATATATTCACATCTTCACTGGTTCACAAAATTTAGTAATCCATTATTAAGATAGATCATAGAGTTATGCCACATGTAAGAGAAACAGGCAAACTTTTCAGGACTGAGGACAAAATTTACATGCAGTCAGCTTTTCTTTCACTTAGCAAGAATGGAACACCGCCCTCATCTTTTTCTTGAATTCCATCATGCACATGCATTAAAACAATGTGGCATTACTCTGCTGGGAAAGTTATCAAATCTTGCAATCAGTTGTGTCAAAAGTATTGATGTTACTGACTACACGGAAGGCCACTTCCCATCCATCCCCCTCCAGCATTAAAGTTTGCACAAATTAAAATAAACCATACATTGCTTGCTTATGGCTTACAACATGTATCAGACTATCTTTCAGCAAGTTATTACAAGGCATTGCCACTGATCATGGGAAAAACAGACCAAACAAGCAAATAAAAACCACACAACACAAAACATGTCAGACAAAATTAAAAAATCATGTCTCAGGAGACCATTAAGTTTTCATTGAAATCAAAGACAATTACAAGTGATCAATGAACTCATCAAATATTAACATGGAAGTTGAAAGGTGACAAAAGGGCAAGAGACTTGTGCATATTCAATACACATTGAACATGCACACAGCAATATCACATAGCCATGTCTTCCATCACTAAGTAATGCCAGAGCAAAGGACAGATGTGGTGTTCATCTGGAATTAATAAAGCAAGCAATGTATAGCTCTCTTGTCATTGCTTAATACTGGAAACTGATCTGGCATTAATTTAAAATTTGTAATGCAATGTAATGCTGTTTGGGAGAAAAATATCCATGCGAACAAAGCACTTGAAATCTCAAGTAAATATAGCTTTTAAGATGTTAGTACAACCTGAATTTAATTTGATGCATTCTACAATTACAAAATGTATCCTTCAAGGCAACTTCCAGTGAAACAGAAATATAGCTCATTCTCCTTATGTTTTTTTTTTATGTTATCACTGCAAAAATCAAAATCAAGAACGCTAAAATTCACAAAAATGCTAAATACGGAGATTTAATTAAAATACTATAGAACAACTGGAAACAGGAAGAGTTAATTTTAGTAGCTAGTCATCTAAAACTTAGTTAAAAGAATACTTCTGTGGAAATATACAGATGATGAAGGCTTTCACTCTCTATCTCTGTGTGTGACTAATGAAGTATTATTATATAAATATTACATATAAATATCTAATGTGACTAATAAAGCATTACATTTAAGCAAAGTCAATTTATCCAAAATATAACTATGGGGTTTCAACAGTACTTTCATTTTGGACTGCTATCCTGTCTTCTGTTAAAAATGGCTGTAAAATTGTGGAAGGCAATACTTATAACCACCACGATTAACCACAAAAATACAGGAGACAAATCTGAAGAACTCACTGTAAGAAAAAGATCTGTGGTCTAAAGATATCTTATTATATTTAGAGGACCAAAGAACTGCAGTAAACTATCAATGAACTGAAGTAATATCTAACATTTACAATGGATATTTCACATGCATAACCATTTAACAAAAACTACTGGAAAAAATTCCAAACACATCATATCTGGAATGATTATAGAAAAGTTTACATTACACTTGCCTTGACAAAAATATTTACCTAAAGAGTTACAAGAATTTTATGTATTTTTTAGGACACTAACTCAGATGTAATGAGATCCTAAGAATAACAGAAGTGTGGGAGGATGTCCCATTTCTGAGCAAAAGGGAGCTCAGAAAAGCAGCCCTTCCTTACTTCTTCCAGCTTGAGGGAAGAGCATTTAAGAAGCAGAATACTTCCAAGTTACAGCCACGATTACTGCAGCTTAGGAAAAGCCCATGACAAATTCTAATTAACAGATAAGAGTTTGGAATCGGGCAAAATGTAGATACTGTGCTGTTAGCTTTCATAGCTTTAAAGCTGGTAATACACCCCCCTCTGCTTCTTTGGAATAGACTTGTTTTCATCCTCTAAAACTGTCACTGCTGAAAATGCATAGATGACATGATAATCACAGAGTACACCATTTCTCTGGATACACTTAATTTATATTTGAATATTGTGTATAGGCAGCCCAACATGCTGGGTATATTTAGGAATCCTGAGAATTAAGGCATTTGCTGTTAGGCTCAGGGTCAGTTTTAGACTCGTTGTGAGAACAAAGTATTGGGAAAGAATCTCATACTAAGGTCAAAAATTAGAGACCTTCTGAAAATAGGCAAACTATGCATACAAACAGGATAGCATTTGCGAAGTTAAAAAATAATGTACCCTAAGCTGACTGGGGAATTGAGATTCAAACATAAGCAACTTAGCTTGGCTAAATCTGAAGAAAAGTGAGGTGGAAGAGGAAAAAAAATCTAAGATAACTTACTTGAAGCTGCACACAGTCATGGAACTTTTTATAACGGATGAGAGAGCATGCATGCGCATTAGAGAGCAAGAGTTATTCACAATTGCTTACCCAGGATTCATGGTACAAAACTGTGAGGAGGTGTATGCCATAATCATAGTTCTGTCTTCTTAGTGGACACCTGAAAGTTCAAAAACAAAGCTAGTCTTTCTGAAATCAAGCCACTGTAGCATACTTTTGAATGAAATGTTAACATTAAAATTTCTGAGTTTCAATGTAGGAAGCTTAGGAAGTTTGTGTTTGATTCACATGCATTTCTGAATTATACATAAACAAGAATAACATAATGAAGGCATGAGTATTAAGAACAAAGAAGAACAGGTATCTGCAAGTCAGCAGGAAAGTGTACAACATGCAAGAGTTTACAATCTTCAGGAAACATTAAAAACCTGTTTGCCCTCTGTGCCAAAGTGGAATCCAACATAAGGGAGCCTGAACTCCCCTAAAAAAAGATTTATTTTCTTCCCCCAGATCTGAATGAAGGAGCATGACTGGTGAAAACAGCTATGAAATACAGTTCAGAACAGACCTAGCCAACATTTTAAGATGAAAAGTTTCCGTCAATGTAGCTGTAAGTCAAAACGTGATCACCAGTAAATTTTGTTGGGCTAAGACACAGTCCTGTAAAAACAGTGTTTTTTTTTTAAATTAGTAATCAAAACCTTTTGCTGAAAAAACACCCAGCCCCTTCTATACTGTGACTACAGGCATGTTCTTTCCTTCTTGTAACCGTACCTGTCTGTTGTAATTGTGAGGGTATCTGTATCCTTACAGTACCGCTCTCCTACAAGTTTAACAAGCTTCTTCTTTGCATGGTCATCCAAATTCAAGTTTGAAAGTTTAACCTTCAAGCACAAGAGAAAACACCTTTAATTACTGAATAAATCCAATCTTTGCACCCGGAAAATATTTTGAGATAGTTAGACACATGTTTGATCAAGAACAATTAAATACGCATTTGCAAAATTTCTTCTGATTGCATCACATCCAAAGTATTAACACAAGGCAAGTATAATATGAATATTCAAACAATAAATTTCTTTTCATCCAAATGTCAAGAGTGGCTGAGGGAGAATATTTCTACTCAAACTTCTTTTTTTCAGAGCAAAAAAAAAGAGCTGTCAGTTCAGTCTGTAGCTGTATTGCATATTTACATGTACTTCACACAGAAAAAATAAATCCTTAATTGCTTTTTTCTCCCAAATACAAATCAGTAAAGTTAATACTAAGATATACCAAAGATCTTTATTACAAGCATCCAAAAGAGAAAGACACCAATTCAATAGACATCAAATCAGAAACCTCAAAACAATTACTGGGAGTTAATTAGAAGTATGCAAAGATGCACACAGATGACAATATAATGCTGATCAAACAATAATGTGAAAGGCTTGTCTTCTGTTCCAATAGCAGGAAACCCACAAACACAAGATAAACAACAAAGGACTATTATTATTTAAAAAACATCCTCCCCCCTTCAAAACAAACCAAAAAAACCCACACAAAACCACAACAAACTCACTAAGTTAGTCTGACACTAGTTTCTGTGTGCAATAATGACTATGACAAGTAAAACAAGCTGGTTTTAACTATCTGCTTACATAGTAGTAAATAAGAAGGCTGAGGACTTTAACAGTCTAAATATACATGGAATTGGAAATGTGAGTTTCAATTAAGTAAGAGTTGCTGAGGAATATTAAAAACATGAAGACCTAATAGTAGTCTCTTACTAATTTGCATACAAATTTGTGGAACCTTGCTCTTGGACCATAGATCGGAATTAGGAGACAAACCCAGAAAGGCTAAACTCTGGTATGCAATGACTACAAGGGGATGGTGAAGTTATTGCTAACAGTGGTGTGAAATGTCTATTTAAGTCAATGACAGACTATACTAAATTTCAGCCCCAAAGGTGTCACAACATAAAGGGAAAGCAGAGACTCCTACAGACAAAATGAACTACTACAGCTCATACACACACAGTTACATAGTATGCTAGAGATTGGAAGGGACCTCGAAAGATCTAGTCCAATCCCCCTGCCAGAGCAGGAACACCTAGATAATGTTACACAGGAATGTGTCCAGGTGAGTTTTGAATGTCTCCAGGGAAGGAGACTCCACAACCTCCCTGGGCAGCCTGTTCCAGTGTTCTGTCACCCTCACGGAGAAGAAGTTTCTTCTCAAGTTTAAGTGGAACCTCTTGTGTTCCAGTTTGTACCCATTACCCCTTGTCCTATCATTGTTTGGCACTGAGTAGAGCCTGGCTCCATCCTCATAACACTCTCCCTTTATATATTTATAGACACTAATAAGGCCACCCCTCAGTCTCCTCTTCTCCAAACTATAGAGACCCAGCTCCCTCAGTCTTTCCTCATAAGGGAGATGCTCCACTCCCTTAATCATCTTAGTTGCCCTGCGCTGGACTCTCTCCAGCAGGTCCCTGTCCTTCTTGAACTGAGGGGCCCAGAACTGGACACAATATTCCAGATGCGGTCTCACCAGGGCAGAGTAGAGGGGAAGGAGGACCTCTCTCGACCTACTAACCACCCCCCTTCTAATACACCCCAGGATGCCATTGGCCTTCTTGGCCACAAGGGCACAGTGTTGACTCGTGGTCATCCTGTCGTCCACTAGGACCCCCAGGTCTCTCTCCCCTGCACTGCTCTCTAACAGGTCGTTCCCCAACCTATACTGGAACCTGGGGTTGTTCCTGCCCAGATGCAGGACTCTACACTTTCCCTTGTTATATTTCATCAAGTTATTCCCTGCCCAACTCTCCAGCCTGTCCAGGTCTCGCTGGATGGCAGCACAGCCTTCTGGCGTGTCAGCCACTCCTCCCAGCTTAGTGTCATCAGCAAACTTGCTGATAGTACACTCAATTCCCTCATCTAAATCGCTGATGAATAATATTAAATAATACTGGTCCCAGTACTGACCCTTGAGGCACTCCACTAGTTACAGGCCTCCAACGGACTCCGCCCCATAGACTACAACTCTGGCTTCTCTCCTTCAGCCAGTTTGCAGTCCACCTCACTACCTGATCATCCAGACCACACTTCCTCAATTTAACTGTGAGGATGCTGTGGGAGACTGTGTTAAATGCTTTGCTGAAGTCAAGGTGGACCACATCCACTGCTCTGCCATCATCCATCCACCATGTTATTTCCTCATAAAAGGCTAAGAGATTGGTCAAACATGATTTCCCCCTGGTGAAGCCATGTTGACTGCCCCTCATAACCCTTTTACCCTTGATATGCCTTAAGATGGCACCAAGGATAAGGTGTTCCATCACTTTCCCAGGGACGGAGGTGAGGCTGGCCGGTCTATAGTTACCCGGGTCCTCCTTCTTGCCCTTTTTGAAGACTGGAGTGACATTTGCTTTCCTCCAGTCCTCAGGCACCTCTCCCGTTTCCCAAGACTTGGTAAAGATGATGGAGAGTGGTCTAGCAATGACTTCCACCAGTTCCCTCAGCACCCGCGGGTGCATCCCATCTGGACCCATGGATTTATGGATGTCCAGATTGCTCAACTGGTCTCTAACCCATTCCTCATCGACTAAGGCAAACCACTCCATTGACCTGACTTCGTCTAAGGTCTCCGGGGTACAGGGCTCTTCAGGACTGCCTGCAGCAGAGTAGACAGAGACAAAGAAGGCATTCAGTAACTCTGCCATCTCTGTATCTTCTGTCACCAGGGCACCCATCCCGTTCATCAGTGGGCCTACATTGCCTCTGGTGTTAGTTTTATCTGCCATGTATTTGAAAAAGCTCTTTTTGCTGTCCTTGACCCTTCTCGCCAGGTTTAATTCTAAGGAGGCCTTAGTCATCCTAGCTGCCTTCCTACATCCTCTAGCAGCAGCCTTATATTCCTCCCAAGTGGCCAGCCCCTCCTTCCATGACCTGTAAACTCTCCTCTTCCACTTGAGCATACCCAGCAATTCCCTATTTAGCCATGCAGGTCTCCTGGCCCTCTTCCTTGACTTTCTACGTGTCAGGATGCTCTGATCTTGAGCTCGGAAAAAGCAATCCTTGAATGCCAACCAATTATCTTGGGCCCCTTTACCTTCAAACAGCCTTGCCCATGGGATTTCCCCTAGCAATTGCTTGAAAAGGCCAAAGTTTGCCCTGCTAAAGTCCAGGGTTGCAATTCTACTTGCTATTCTGCTGGTCCTACCACACAAGATCCTGAACTCCACCATCTCGTGGTCGCTGCAACCAAGGCAGCCCTCAACCCTTACTGCTTCGACCAGATCCTCCTTGTTAGTGAGGATGAGATCCAGCAGCGCTCCTCTCCTGGTTGGCTCATCCACCATTTGCAGGAGGAAGTTATCATCCATACACTGGAGGAACCTCCTGGACTGCGGCTGGGTTGCCGAGTGGTCCTTCCAGCAAACATCAGGGAAGTTAAAATCCCCCACGACGACCACGGCCTGTGACTGTGATGCCGCTCTCAGCTGCCTGTAGAAGGCCTCGTCAACTTCCTCACCCTGATCTGGTGGTCTGTAACAGACACCCACAACAGTATCGCCCCTGCCAGCCTGCCCCTTAATTCTCACCCACAGACTCTCAACTCGCTCATCATCTGTCCCTGGACAGAACTCGGTGCATTGTAGTTGCTCCCGTACATAAAGAACAACCCCACCACCCCGCCTGGCTGGCCTGTCTTTCCTGAAAAGGACGTAGCCCTCCATGACTATATTCCAGTCATGTGAGCTGCCCCACCACGTCTCTGTAATTGCCACCAGATCATAATCTCCTGACTTAACACAGGTTTCTAACTCCCCCTGCTTATTTCCCATGCTGCGCACATTGGTGTACACACATTCCAGTGAGCGAGCTGAGCACACCGATTTCACCCTAGGATTATAGGAGGCCTCCCAGTCTTCATCAATTCTGGAGTGCTGCCCCACTGGGGCAAGCCCAGCTACAACCCCATCCCCCTTCAAATCTAGTTTAAAGCTCTCCAAATGAGCCCTGATAATTCGTGCCCCAGCATCCTTTTGCCTCTGTGAGATAAACCTTTCCCACTTGTCATTGTCCAGACTGGTGCCCTATAAAACCAGCCGTTATCAAAGAATCCAAAGCCCTGCCTGTAGCACCAGTCTCGAAGCCAATCGTTTATGGACTGAATTTTCCCATTCCATCCCACATCATCAGTGGAAGATGGAAGGAGTGAGGAGAAGATCATGAGCCCCAGACTCTTTCACCATCCGCCCCAAGGCCCTGTAGTCTTTCTTCATCCCCCTCAGACTGCGGGAAGCAGCTTCCCCCTCACCTGTCTGGAAGACCAGCAGTGGGTAGTAGTCTGTCAGGTGCACCAGGTTGGGGAGTGCCCTAGTGATACCCCTGATCCAGGCTCCAGGCAGACTACAAACTTCCCTATGATGAGGGTAAACTCTGCATATCGGGCCCTCTGTTCCTCTCAGAAGGGAATCCCTACTACAATGACCCTTCTTTCTTTCTTATCAGAGGCAGTCCAGAGGTGCAAAGTCGACCGCCTTTTCCTATGTGGCCTTGTAGGCTGGCCTTGCACCACATTCTCACCTACCTCTCCTTCAAGATCCAGGGCCTCAAACCTATTACGGAGGGACACCTGGGGAAGCAGGGCAGGAAGGGGGGAGGGTTTCCCACGACGCCGAACTGGGACTCGCTTCCAGCCCTCGTTGTCTTTTTGGTCCCCTACCTCTGCGCAACAGCTACAGGGCAGGGGGTGTCTCGGGCTATCCCCCTCTGTGTGAGAAGGCAGGGGGTTCTTCCCCTTTTGGGGGCTATCTCCCTGGAACCGTTCCAACTGGCACGCCAGGGAGTTGCTCCACCAGTCGATCTCCCTTTCACACTCCCTGATGGTCCTCAGCGTCTCAACCTCCTCCTTAAGTTTTGCAAACCAGGCTAAGCAGATCTTCTACCTGCTCACACCTCACGCAGGTGGAATGCTGTCCTCCCTTCCCCGGCAGCAGCAGGCTCTGGCACTCCCTGCATCCAGAGACCTGAACAGCCAGTTTGGGACGGGGTCTCTGTCTGAGTTGCTACAGTCTTCTTACTGCAAGCTCTAGTGTTATGAGCATATGGTATCATGCAGTATTTTAACTTACATACTGACAAGAGTAAGAACACAACTATCACTGACCACACTGCTGCTGCTCTTAAGATAGGCTCAAATCTCATCTTGAAAACATGTTTAACTATGCAGCACAATCCTATCTTTACTACCATGAGGGCAGGCAAGCACTGGAACAGCTTGTCCAGAGAGGCTGTGCCACCTCCAACCCTGCAAGTTTTCAAGATGCAGCCAGATGAAGTCCCAGGTAACCTGGTTTGATCTTACACCTACCTTACTTTGAGCAGAAGGTCAGACTGGAAAACTCCTGAGCTCCCTTCCAGCCTCAAGTATCCCATGATCCTATGATTAGAAGGCTGCCTCTCCTACTGCATACACGCTGATGCCTGGAGGCTTGCCAACTCAATACATACTAATAGTACCACATTCATATGACCCATTTTTCAATACCTGTGCACTTCTAGAGTCTATAAATTAGGAATGAAAGAGTCTAAGCAAGACATTGAGTACAAAGGCACTTACAGACCCTTCTATAAAGATTCTTCAGAAGCTACAATATTTTGTTTATATATGAGAGCTTAGTCTTCACTTATAAACACACATCCATAATCTTACAACCTCAGTTCTAACATGCTTAAGGAAATCCACTGTTTTTTATTCAGACATTCAGTAAATCATTTCCCTCATTTCCTTACAACACATCATACTTGCACTAAGGTTTTGGGGAAAAAAAAAAGGCTGTTAGGCTTTTTACCAAAAATACTACTTACTCTTAAAGTCACCACTCTTGCTTTGGGATTACGAATAGATGTCCCTGAAGACACATAATCTGTTGTTTCAATTTCAATAGGAAAATGCTGTTCACATTTCTCATCACTGTCCAAAGCACTTGGCCATTCAGTGCAGAAATCTGCATAATAAAGAGAAAACACTCTAATACCTGTTGGCTTGTTTGAGAATTTTGCAAATTTATTGCAATGCATCTTTTAAAAAGTTCTATTTATAGAAACTGTATTCATTTAGATAATGTCAGAGCCTCTGCTAAACTTGCTCCAGTATTTCAATGTCTTTCTTTGTACTGAATTCCCCAAAATAGGACACAATACTCCAGGTGCAGTCTCACAATTGCCAAATAGAATCACAGAATGATTCAGGTTGGAAGGGACCTTCAGGATCACCAAGACCAACCCCCTGCCATAGGCAAGGACATCTTTCACTATATCAGGCTGCTCAAGGCCATCCAACATGGCCTTGAATAGATCCAATGATGAGGCACCCACAGCTTCTCCAGGTAAGCTCTTCCAATGTCAACACCATCATTGTAAAAAATGCCTTCCTTATGCCCAATCTAAATATCTACTCTCTCCCAGCTTAAAATCATTGCCCTCTGCCCCGTCACCACAGGACTGGGTAAAAAGCCTCTCCCCATCTTTCTTATAAGTCCCCTTTATATACTTAAAGGCAATAATAAGGTTCCCCCAGAGCCTTCTCTTCTCCATGCTGAACAACCCCAGCTTTCTCAGCCTTTCTTCACAGGAGAGATGTTCCACCCCTCTGGTCATCTGTGTGGCCCTCCTCTAGCAGGTCCACATCCTTCTTGTACTGGGGATCTCAGAACTGGATGCAATGCTCACGAGAGGGAAAAGAATTACTTTCCTGAATATGGTGACTACACTCTTGTTAATAAAATCCAGTATGTAGTTAGATTCCCTTGCCACAAGGGCACACAACTGACTCATGTTCAATTTTCAAATACCCACAAGGCTCTTCCACAATGCTTCTTTCTAGCTGTTTGCCCCCATCCCATGCTTGTACTGTTACTCCATTCCAGGTGTAGGACTCTATACAGCAACAAGCAAGCATACAACACTATCCAAAACCTGACAAATAACCAGCTTCAGAGGGGGACCATGTCTCACCTTCTATTTCATTGCACATAGTTACCTTTTCCATGGTCTTAAAATTCTGAGAGATGATTTTTAAAAACAGTAAAAATAACAAACAAACAAACAAACAAAAACCCAACAACAAACCAAAACCTCACCTTTAAGAGCTGCACAGTGTTTCTTAATTGCAGGAGGAGTAAGATGCAAAAAATTGGGAATCTGAAACAGACATATTAAGAGTTACCAAAATAATAGCTCTTTGTCTGTTTATAAATAAAGGGGCATTACTGAAACCTGATTATACTTTCAACTTTCATTAAGGCAGTAGAATACCCTTAATAAAATATTCAGGTAAGAAGACTATTCTCCAGCCCAATTTAACAAAAGACTTAAGTTAGCCCCATTACAAAGGTACAGGCATGATAGTCGTAAATAAGTTTCCTGATGTGGTTCATTAATTACACTTGTATTTGTTACCATTTATTATAGAAATTAAGAGTATTATCCTATTTAATAAAAGAAAACAGTATCCAATACAAATATTCCAATCAAGGCAGCACAGTCTTAGTGAATAATAACAAAAGTTAGCACATACCAATGACATATGTCTCACCTTCAAAAGTTCTAAGTTGCCTTCTTTTGGTGGAGGTACTCCTCTCTTCACCGGGTAACCCATTCGAATTGGGAGAGGCACAGAGGCAGGTTTAAACACAGCTGCTGTTGGATAAACACTGGTCCAGTCCTGATCAACAGCCATCTTCTCAGTTCTGGGAGGTATATGCTAATAAATTGGAAATTATAAAAGTCTGATGGGAGACACTTTTTTTTGAGACAAAGCGGAAGCAACACATGCCCCAGTTATTTCAGGAATAAATTTCCATAGCTAGAAATTTCAAGACACCTTTACATCAAAGGTTAGTATTCATCTGTAAAGAAATTTTTAAAAGACAGCCTAGGCAGCAGGTCTTTCCCAATCTTCAACTGCATTTTATTTCAGAAATGCTTAGAAAGAAGTACATTTAGTATGTCCCAGGCCCACTTTCACTATTTGCTTTCAAAAATCATACCTAATACACTACTTTTGAAATTTTTATGTGGAATAAATAAGAAAATTCCTAGTGATTAAATATTCAGGTGTGAATTTTAATTCTACTTTTAAAAAACAATTTCACTTATGCACAAAACAAGATGTTTTAGCTATGCCAGAAAACAAGCACTACAAATCCTGTAAACTCAAACTAAAACCAACATTAAAATGTCTGATTTTATTTTAAATGCAACTTTAACTTACTTTTAAGACTTGCAGTAAAAAGTGTTAATACAGACTAACTGTTTGCTTGTTACTGTTAATGGTTTTGCCTTTATAAGAACATGGAGTGAAAACAGCTGGGACATTCAAGAAGCCAAGTGCTGGCTCTGGGATAATCACAGTGGATTGTTTCACCAGGCTGTGACTGCAGAAGGGGTTCCTATACAAACTGTTAAGACATACAGCTTAGAAAACTTTTTCAAACACCTCAATTAAGTGCAAACAGTTTCAGTGCTTACTGATCTTATGAACTGTTGTGTCCTGCCTCTTCTTGCTAAAGCTGAAAAAAAAGAAAAACATTTTCAATACAAACTATTATACTCTAATTTAAACACTTTCAGACATCTCCCTTCTAAAAAAAGCCCAAACAACACCAAAACAATGTGGCCTTTATAATACTCAGACAAACAAAGGTGGATCTGATTATAATTATTTTCAAGTATCCTGTTTCAACTTGGGATTTGTTTGGTTTTTAATTATTGCTACATTACAATACAGTATGTATTCAGCAAAAAACACTGAAGGGGATTTGGAAGTGGATGTTTGGGTTCTTTCTGCCCCATTAATTTGGCTTCCACTCCTACCCCACATAAGCCTTTGAAAGGCTTGTGAATTTCAGTTATTTTGTTTTCCTTGTCTAAGTACTTTATAGATACAGTTCTGTTTCTCCTCTTTTTCCTATATACAAATCTAAACTGAAGAATACATATGGGGCTCTTCAACAAGTAATACACAAGCATTCTTTTACCCCTTTATCTGTTGGTTTTTGCAATGCTTTCAGACACACTTCATCATATCAATCTCATTATTTCTGTTACAAACACCTACAATTTCAGGGCAGGAGACATTTTACTTCTGCAGTGCCACATCCTCCAACATCAAACATCTCTTACAGATCACTTACAGATCCTTTCTGCCCACCCACCCTTGGGAAGAATGTTGCTACAACCCTGGCAAGCAAGTTTCCATTTGACCTTAGAACCTCCTGAAGCTCCAGTCTGAGGCCAGGCATGACATCAAATGTTTAACATGAGTGCACATCCCATAACAAACTGAAATTCTTATTTGCAATACCTAAAACCAGGCAATATGCTGCAGGTCCACCGTAATCCTGAGTGTCCACCTCTGAAGCCCCCAACGTAAGACCTGTTGGAGTGACTCCAGAGAAGGCCACAAAGATGCTTCAAGGGCTACAGCACTTCCCCTATGGTGACAGGCTGAGAGAGCTGGAGCTTTCCAGCCTGGGAAACAGAAGGCTCTGGGGAAACCTCATAGCAGCTTCCAGTGCCTAAAGGGGGGTTGCAAAAAATTTGGAGAGGCCCTTTTTTAAAAGACTGTGTGAAACAGGACAAGGGCAAACAGCTTTAACCTGGCAGAAGGGAGATTTAGATTAGATATTAGGAAAAAATTCTTCACTATGAGGGTGGTGAGGCCCTGGCACAGGTTGCCCAAAGAAGCTGTGGCTGCCCCATCCCTGGCAGTGTTCAAGGCCAGGCTGGATGGGGCTTTGAGCAACCTGGTCTAGTGGAAGGTGTCCCTGCCTGTAGCAGGGGGTTGGAACTGGATGATCTTCAAGGTCCATTCCAGCCCAAAACAGTCTGTGATTCTATGATCCTTTGAATCTAGCAGTGTCTAGCAAACATCAAGTTGCTTACTTCTGTCTTCAGACTATTCACAACATTTGCACTGCCAAAATTCATAACCTTTATCACAAAAGACTTCAAAGATAAAATAAACCCTCTCCTGCAAATATTTGCAAACAAAACGCCTTAATCAGAGCGGCCTGTAGCCGGGAAGGAAGGAGGGCCACAGGCCTGAGCTCGCCGCCCGCTCCCGGAACCCTCCTACCCCGGAGCCCCCAGCCCCATACGGCTGCACCCCTGCCGCCACCACAACGTACGCCTGGTTGCTCTCACCTTCCCCCTGCTGTCCTTCCTTACCGCTCACCGCAGGCGCGGAGGAATAAGCCGCGGCCGCGAAGCGAGACGCGACCACAACCAGCCCGCGGCACCGGGATAGCACAACCCAGCAACCACCTAAAGCCGCGCCACTGACAGGCGCCATCTTGGGAATTGCCGCACACAAGCTCCCCCCACAGCCAACCTCTCGTCACGATGGTAGCCGGCTCAGGCCACACCAGCTGGAAAAGCGAAGGGGAGCAGTTCCCCGCCCTCAAGGAGGATAGGAGCGGAGCGTGCTGCGGTCAGCGAGGGAAGGGGAGGTCCGGACCCCAGAGAGGCTCCAGGGGCGGGACGAAACTATGGGAGTAAGCTTACGACCCCAGAGAGCGGGCTGTAGGGTCGTGGTTTGCTCTTGTGTGGTGCCTCCGCCATCTTAGTGCGTGTAGTTCCCGCCCCGGCTGAGGGTGCCCGGCGGATTGCAGGCTATGGCCGGAGGGAAGTGATAGGGGTTTGTGCGGGTGTCTCTTTTCACTAAGTCAGTTTTTTTCTCTTGCAAATAAAAATTCAATTTCTCAGTCCCTGAATGCTCTTTGTATCATTAAAACAGGGACTAGCTTCGCCAGCTTACTCTGAAGCAACTTTCCGTGCAATTCTTTAGCAAAACGCAAACAGGTTCAGCCCTGTGTGAACCTGGACTGGACTGCTGGTTTTCTTCAATGACAGCTTTTTTCTACTTTTTAGAGCTTGTTGCATGCAAGAGTTAGTGTTCTTTATGGGAATATACTCGTATCCCTGGCTGTGCTCAAGGAGTTCTTGGCTTTTCATCTATTTGCTTCAGGTTACAACATAGCTATAATGTATTTTACCCTTGCATTATTGATATAGCATAGAATCGTGGCTTGGGTTGGAAAGGACCTCAAGGCCACCTAGTCCCAGCGCCCCTTGCCATGGGCAGGGACACCTCACAGTAGACTGTTGCCCAAGGCTCTTTCTAGACACAGTGCTGTTTGTGTTAACTTTTACTAAAGAATGTGAACATCAAATTGTCTACTTCAGAAGGTTTTTTTTTAAAGAAACATGTATGGGATGTTCAAGTTGATAGAATAAAGAGCTCTCAAGAATCACAACTTCTTCCAGAAGCCTTATTGTCAAACCAGCCTCTTTTCTACAGCTACTTTTAAGCAGACCGAGTTGTGTCTCATCACAGATTTCTTTGACTTAGCCAAGCTAAACACAGCCCCACAGTTCTAAAAGGTGGACAAAACTGAAGTGCCCCAGATCCAGAGTGTCTTTCCTGAACTCATCATATTCAGCTGATTCATCACCATGTGTTACCACTTGCTTGTAAATTGCTGATGCTACAGAAATACAGACCTACATGAATAGGCTGGGAAATGCACTAGGATGAGAAGGATCTCCACAGCCGCTAAGTTTTGATCAAAATCTTCCATCGGATTCTTTTCCCATTCCGTTTTGTTTGGCTTCTCCGACAGATGTCTACCTAAAAAAATCCAGTCCATGCACAGCAAGCTGATTTCTTATAAAAGAAAAGCAGGGAAAAACCTGCCACACATTATTTTTGCAGATGTTGGTCTTCAATTAGTTAATGTTTGTGGCCATTTTTTGTTTTTATTTAATATTTTGTCCTAGCAAGCTTTACCAGAAGTCTCAAAAAAATAATAACTGGCATCGTCTGTGTTTTTATAGTTAAATGCTTCATCTGAATGTTTTTTTTTGGTTTTGTTTTTTTTTTTCATGAGCAACAGCCTAATAGCCTAATTTTATCACAGAGAAACTCGTAACACTACTGCTATAGTGATCCACTTACAAGCTCATTAACTAGAGACAAACAGACCTATAGACTGGCCTTACGAATTTACCTCAGGATACATTCTTTGCATACTTTGTTAGCATACAAGTGTTCCTTCTTTCAAGTTGCACATACATTTTGAAAAGCCCTTCCAGTTACAGTACAACTGAAGCCACTTCAGTTTTATTTGAAACTATGATTTTGCAAAAATTATATTTGGGGAGCAAGAACAGACATGTTTAGAAACTCAGATAAGCATAAACGTATGGGAGATGTTAGATAAGCGTATGTTTATGTAGCTAAATCATAGATTACATTACTACTATTTTTCAAATTTTGTGATTTCTTTCCCATCTTCTTAGTGAAAAAGCCAGCATTTACAAGGGCTCTATCATCTCTCTCAGTAAGAGATTATGGTTCATCTTTAATTTTTCCAGTCAGATTTGATTTCACATGACCATTCAATAAGTAAAAATTTACTGGTGAAAAAGGGAATTTCCTACTATGATTGAATCCCACCCCTGGTTAACATTCTGAGTTCACAGAGCAGTGGCATTGTAATTACCAGGTAGCTATATACCCTACTGCCTGTACTAAGGTAAGTCAGCCTGGGTTAATTTGATTGCCTGGAACACAATAGGAAGACACTTGGTCAGCCTCTCTGTGCTCGAGGTCTTAAAGTCTGTGCAGAATAGATTATGAATACTGAAGCCTGACTTTCTGATCATGTTGCACATACTGTAGAATAAGTAAAGAATTTAGAGCTACCAGAGAAAGTAATAGGTAGTTGTCTTAAATTACAGGACATAGATGAAATAGGAGATTTCTTGCTAAGGATATTCTCCATTTGGGAATGAGGTGTATAATTTCAGAAGAATTACTGCCTTGGGCTCCAGATCCAGTACAGAAAGAGAAGGTAATGTGGACCTGTGACATTAACAATTTCAAGTTTAGTTTACTTTTCTTTAATGTCAGCTTAGTAGTCAATTAAAGGTAGTATAAAAAAGCCTACAGGAAGAAGTTTTGTGGGAATCTTTTTAACAGAATATCTGACTTTTTAAACTCATACATGTAAATGTAAAATGTGCAACTGCACTTATCCTGCACTTACGATCTTTGTCAACTTTCCCTACTTCCTCTTCAGTTATAACACACAACTCCTCTGTAAAAAGTCTCTCTTGAAGGAATAATTACATTTTTATCAATCTTTTCAAACATACCTGTTACAAGAATCCACTTTTAATGATACTCTGTTGGAACCTCAGTACCAATAAAAGCGTCTTTCTCCTCCAGTGCATTGCTAATGATTTAAACAAACCCAATAGAACAATGCTGGGACACTTAATATAATTGAAGATAGGAATCAAGTAACAGCTGAGGTTCACTCTACAAGAATTTATATTGTCTCTTATTGTTTGAAGGCTCTCCATGGCTGCTATCTGATACCTCTTCATTAATTAGAATAGGTACAATATTTCAATCAGTAATTTTGTCTTTTATGCAATATAAGCATTTCAAGAGACACTTTGCCGTATGTGGTCGCACTTTATTTTAGAACGTACAATTTTTTTAGTGTTCTTATTCTTTTTCTGGAGGTATTAAAAATACTATGGCTTTTTATGAAGATGTATTATAATTACCTTAAGAATTCTGCTGACCTAAGTAAACAGCACTAAACTTAAAAGACCAAACACACCTTAAACTTTAGATCAAGCTGTTCTCTACTGTCTAGATAGAATAACATAAGATCAGCAGAATTTGGCTTCACACTGTAAAAAATAACTCCCATGGAATGTATTATAATTGTTGCTTGATTTACCATAGTGCCTAAAATGGCAAACATGTTCAGGAGCTTATGGTGCTGCTTTCAATAAACAAAATATTCTTAATCAGGATATAATGCCGTGTTAGAAAATGCATCCACATGATATAAACTTCTCCTTATTTTCAATATTTCAATGTATTAATTCTCATCTTTCCAAAAGCCTACTGAAATGACAGTGAAATTAGCAAGGTTTTCTACTTTGTCACAATTATTTCATCACAGTGTGCCATTATTGTCTAAAAAGTGAGGTTAAGAACAGTGGTGCCTGAATCCATGACATTCCAGAGTTATTTCCTTTCTGCTATGGATCACTCAAACTCTTGAGTATCAGATCTAATTTTGTTGGGCCCAACATTGTCTTTACCATAAAACTATTAACCAAACAGATCACTGCTCTGTGCGAATGAGAGCAACATACGCTTCCGTAGCACACACAGCCCACAGTGGCATTGGCAAACCATGGGTCTAATAGAAGTTTGTGCATTTTAAACTTACATGAGCCATGTTTCACAAGTCATGGAATTGAATACTTTTCACAGTTCAAAAGCAGCCTAATCTGAAGAACCATTTTGAAAACAGGAATTCTTTTCTTTTATCAGGACTAACTACGGAAAAACTTATACATGCTCCTTGCTCACTTATGGAGGGTGTGATCTGAGAGCTTTTCTGCCCATCAGATGCTTTGCACATTTCTGCAGGAGTTGAGGAGGGTGAAGGTTCCTTCTCAAGTGACTGCTGGTGGTCGTATGCCATCTCCAGAGCGAAGAGGGTTGGGAGGGGATGGGGGGCTCGCTGTGCAGGATATTCGGGCACTCTCCAGGGTGCTGAATCCCTTGAGCAGGCTCTGGGAGGAAATTGAAGTGCACTTTCAATATGCACGGTCTTGTGCTTTCCCCCTCTTGTCATTCTTATATGCAGAGGACGGCCACAAGGCCTGTGTCTATGGACAATACCACCGGGTGATTACAGTGCTCTTACTGTTTCCAGGCTGAAAACCATACTCTTCAAAGGAAGGAGCTCTTTTTGTCAATGGATATTTTACATTGGTAGCCTTCTCACTCTTCTGCTTGGGCTGCATTTTCACCATGTTGCCCAGTGCTTTAATATGGGACATGTAATAGCATTATTTTACCTGTCACTGCAACCAGCACTTCTCCCATTTTCATTGCACAAAATGGCAGAGTTTGCCTGGATAGAGGGGATGGCTGGGTAACACAAAAGATTAATGAAATCAAAAAAGCAAATGGAGGAATAACATATAGTTGGCTTTACTTGGGGATTGCTATGTCAGTTGTCAGTGGGTTTTACTTTAACAGAGCTAGCTGTTTTTCTCTGTCTTTATAGTCAACATTTGTTGAGTAGCTGTTTAACCAACTAGTCAAAATCAGAATTAGAGACTTCCGAAAGAAACTTTCAGCCCATATGCTTGCAGTGTTGATGAAATTTCAAAAAATGAAATGGACGAGTATGGTAGGAACAGACAAACTGATCTGAAGTTGCTACTAGTTCCCCCTATACTGATCATATGAATGAATTAATTAAT